TATAATGAAGGTCTACTCCAACAATATTAGAAACCTGATTGAATAGATCGAAATTTCAAGGGGGGGAAAAGGAAATACAAAACAGATTGTTGTTTTTGTTGTTGTTGTTGTTTGTTTTTTTAATTTTTTTTTAAATATTTTACTTATTTATTTATTCGAGAGAGAGAGAGAAACAGCATGAGAGGGGAGAGGGTCAGAGGGAAAAGCAGGCTCCTCGCTGAGCTGGGAGCCCAACGTGGGACTCGATCCCAGGACTCCGGGATCATGACCTGAGCCTAAGGCAGTCGCCCAGCCAAAACAGATTGTTGTTTAAGTCACGAAGAACATACTGCCTTTGCACAAGCAACACAGGAAAAGCAACTAGGTGTTACATTAATGAAAATCAGAACAATCCTGAGAACTGATTGCTTTGTTGTCCCCAACATTTGGAAACAAGGCCAGGTGTTTAAAAAAAAAAAAAAAGAGATAAATAAAATATAGTTGAATGCAGCAAGGTCAGGAAGAAGAAAGATTGAAGATGAGTAGTTTTTCAGATATATAATGTAAAGGGGAAAAAATGAGGTTACAAGGTATTATATTTATACTTCAATTAAAAATAAAAAAAATTAAGTTTTTAAAGAAATGTATGAACCAAGGAGGTGCATACAAGGATCAGCCAGCAGCTTTGTATCACAAAATAAATACACAGATATATTCGGATATCTATCTATATATGTGTGTGTGTGTGTATATATATATATATATATATACACACACACACAGATATATTCTGATAAATAAAAAATAAACACACAGGTCTATTTGGAGATATATATATATATATATATATAATACACACACACACACACACACACACACACACACACACACACACATACATCTCCAGGAAAAATATCATTGTCTGGAAATCTGATAACAGAGAAGTATAAAGACTCGGAGACTTGTAAGGTTTTATATTTTTATCTGATTTTTAAAAATTCAATTTTATTCTGTTGGAAGGGGCACCTTATCATAACAGTTTGAAAGGAAAACACTGAATTATGAAAGAAGCATTAAGGAACAATAACTCAAGACGAAGTAGAAATCATGTGGATTATTAATTTCAGGAGGACACCTCACAGCTACTGGCTAGTCTGAGAGTTGCTGTGCAGGTCATAAATTCCCAGAGACTGAGGGAGAGTAACTGAATTAACCGTCTATTAATCAGAAAGGAAAAGGAAGCCCTGGTAATTAAGTAGCTGTCACCTGCACATCAATACTCAGAAAGCCGAAGTGCAAACCATCAAACAATCAATTTGTAATCACAGAGAACTGAGAACAGAGCTCTGAGAACAGAAAGACTGACACAACACGCCTTTCAGAGAACAATTTTGTTTCATGATGCAGTGACAGGAGGGGCAGATAAGAGGGACTTTGAGAGAGAGAGACTGCATGGAATTCGGTAATACATTTTCATCTTAAACCAGAAATTCTTTGAACTGTTGATCCCAATGTGGCCGCAGAGTACAGGGCATGCATGCTGTCTTTGAAATCATTTGAGTTAAAGTAGATGTTTTGTTTCACAAATTAAACACTCCTTATATACTACAGATACTTGAGATATTTTCAGCTACAATCACAAAGGAATTCCACCTCTTTTGATGAGCACAAAGGTAATTTCACTCAATTTTATAGGACTGTCATAATATTGAAACAATCAGTATGGCTCTCCTATTCTTTGAGACAGCACGTCTGTGCACATAAATACTCTTATCAATCATCTCCTAAAAAATGCCTTCAGGAGAAGAAGTCTTGCCAAAATAATCACTTTGCTCTTACAATGAATGATAGACTCAGTCTTGGACACCAATTTATCCTATTGATGCGGCATAATTTCTCTAGGATGAATCTGATGAGTATTATAATCCACCATAAGAAAGGAAAAACTACTATCATCCCCAAATGTAGTATACATTCACTTGATACTCATTTCTTCACAATGTGATGGCATTACTTATCTCAACTTAGTGCAGATCTCCGAAATGAATGTTTTATTTGAGGATCATAGTGCTTTTGAACAGTGATCACTGCTATGCTTCCTTTTTTCTTTAGGAGAAAGTAGCTAATAAATCAAGATTGCAACATTCATCAGGACTTGACTTTATGTTGAAGACTTCTTACACAAACTCACTAGTTCAGTATTTACCCATACCCATTACTGCTTTGATAAAACTATACCACAAAATTACTACGAAAATCCAACTTAGCTAGAAATTCTATGTAAAAATAGCACTTTCACTTCAAAAAAAGCATTATAAAAAGAAGAAAACAATAACATCCCATAATTCTAACATCACTGCAACATCTGTTCTCCTTAATCATAAATACAATGCAAATAAAAAAAAACCCAGTACTTCTTAAGTATATTAGCAGTTTCCATGTAACTGTCCAAAAATATTCTATGCAGAGCCAATATTGCTTTTTTTTATTTATTCAGATCTGCTGGTAAAATATGTAATATCTTAGTTTTAACTATTTTTAATTTAATAATTATTTGAAATTATTCCACATTAGCAGATAAAAATATGCACAGTTTTTGACAAACGCATAATATTCCATGGTGAAGGCACCACAATTAAACAGATGTGATGGATATTTAGGTTTTAGCACTGACTTTGCCCTGAAGGGGAAAAAATGTCCTGCTGTATGTTTATGTCAAGAATTGGCTGAGCCACAAATAAAAATACAATTCAAATAATATAGTTTTTTTTTTAAAAAAAGTCAAGCATACAAGAGAGTTTTCTCAAGATCAAATAGAAAAGAGATACCGCCCAATCAGCTTGCTTTGGAGCATGAGGGAGTCAAGTTTTGGGAGAATTAAATGAGATAATGCTTGCAAAACCTTGGCTGACTGCCAGAAAATAATCAGGGCTGAAAAATGTTCATTTTGAAAGTTGCGCGGAGATGGCGCTAGACAGCCAGTGTGTGAGGCCTGTCTGCCAGCAGGTGAGCCAAGAGGAGTGGAAGTGGGTAGTGGATGGACCTGAAGAAATATTCTCAAGGATAGGAAAGTGACAGTTAAGGTGATGAGGTAGAAGGGTTGTTTGAGAGAAGATTAAGGCAAAGTGTAAGGTGTTCTCAGGAGAGTGGAGTCGAACAGTGCACTTGGAAGTGGCCGACAGGAGGCTGGGTGGTACAGCGAAGGGGAGATTAAGCTGGAAGCAAATGAGAATCATGAGAATGCCTCATTTTCTTTATCAGAAATGTGGATACTTTGTACAGAGAATTCTTGCTAAAGATGAGCTTTTTTTTTTTTTATTCCTAAACCATGAATGAGGTCTTAAGAAATACACGATATAGAAGAAAATATATTCTTTGAGTTGAAAATACGATCTCTCTAAAGTTTTCCCAAATCATTGATTTCCCCAGTAGCATTTCCTGTTATACAAACTCCAGACCAAACAGTCGAGAGGAGTGGGGCAAGCTGACACTAAGGTTCTTGTAGCACTCTAGAACGAGATGATCTAGTGGAATGCAATATATCACGTTTTTATATAATATACTAAATCTTTCATTAATCACCATGGGATTCTCTTTAGCCCTTGTGTTAATACACAAAAAGTTCAATTCCAGCTTGAACAAACTGAGAGGAGAAAGCAGAAGTCAAAGTATAATTTAATTATTAGATCTAAGTGGCAGAATTTTCAGTGACATGAGACTAAAAGAAATCAGTTCCAGGCATACTATGAGTGCTCTCAAGAAAGGCAAGAAAGGTAAATTTAGAAAATATGTTCTAACATCCAAAGAACATAATGAACAAAGAACACTAGCCATGTCAGCCAAATATTATATTTAAATTTAATTATGTTCCTGTAGTTAATAATTTTTTCTGCAAAATCTAAGAATCTCTATGAGACACTCAGATATAAACTACAAAATAATCATTTATTGTATCAGGAAATAAGCTTTAACTATAATAAATATGATCACACAGAAATACATAAACAGTTTTTATTATTTAAATGTATTTAATTGGAGTATATGTTTGTCATGGTAAGCTTAATTTGCTAATGACTTCTTTTTTTAGCTAATGATATTTCAGTTCAACTTATCGCTCTTGTGGTAACTAAACCACCTATCTTCATGTGGAGTAGGCATGTTTGTAAATCAGAAAACTTAACACCCTATTTCTCTTTTTGCAGATTGTTCAAAATAAAATACATGAAAACATTCAAGTTCAAATGCAACCCAAGCCAACATTCTGTAACAATCATCAGCACTGGAAAATCAAAAGAGCAATTCCCAACGAATTATTAATGACCACTGTTATATATTATGGAGGGAGAATTTAGGACTTTCTCAAGATCAGGAGATTATTTCAGAGTACGATCAGTTATAGGAAGCAAAGGAAAAGAAAATGTCAAAGAAATTCTAGACAATGAGGAAAAAAATGGTAAAAAATTTCACTCCTGAGCTTGAGAACAATTGACAACACACAAATAAATAATGCTTCAAACAGACACACATGGACGTACCCCCACTCTAACATAGATACTCACATGCACATACACACATACACAAAGAGACAATTGTAGGACGGACATATTAACACTGCTGAGACTCATATTCATATATCCATGAATCTTTGCACAGGTATTCACATTTCACTGAATTTCTTCACTTTCTAGAATTCATAAAGCTAAATGAAAAAAGTAAGATACTTGATAAACAAGACAGATTGGACAGAAGGTAAATAATACTTATCGAAAAAATGGATTATTGGTAAGTCTGAGATAGGTAGAAAGGAAGAAAGAATGTTCAAACACCACAGAATTGTTATCACATTTCTAAAAAGTCAAAAAGGATCAAATCTATTTCTAAGAAACTAAAGAGACGAAACTGATGTAAACTCTAACCTATGGGGCAAAGTTAAAACTGAAGTGGTCCATTCAAGACCCAGGAAAAGAAAGCAAGGATGAAAAGAGCCATGATATTTTCACAGACCACTACACATAAAATACCTTTTTACTATATCTTCCCCATTCCAGCACGGCAGCCCATCAGCAGCGGCTAATTCATTAACACAAAGCTCATCAGCCAGGCCTCCATAGAACGTCCTGTACAGTCGAAGACTGTTGATAAATTCTCTGAATGGGAAAACAAAGAAAACAATTAAAACCAGAAATCCACAAAAAATGCCAATATAAATGGCATAATTTGTTATGCATGATATACAGAATGCACTTTTTTTATTTTCACTGCTTATTTTTTATATATTCTCAATACTTTTCTAACAATCAAGATAAATACGGTATTTTTTTTAAAAAAGAATGCTAGTATTCAAATTTACTCTTTGTTGTTGTTGTTGTTGTTTTTAAAGATTTTATTTATTTATTTGAGAGAGAGAGACACAACGAGAGAGGGAACACAAGCAGGGGGAGTGGGAGAGGGAGAAGCAGGCTTCCCGCCGAGCAGGGAACCCGATGCGGGGCTCGATCCCAGGATCTTGGGATCATGACCCGAGCGGAAGGCAGACGCCCAACCGACTGAGCCACCCAGGTACCCCAAATTTACTCTTTTGAATCCAAGTTTTCACAGGGTATGAATTTTATATAATCCAGTCCGAGAAGTCGTGAAGAGTACATACACACACGCATCCCACTTTATCTAAGTATCCCTAAAAGCCTTTACTAGGTGTGCCATCTAAATCACAGTGATACTACTTACTTTTCTATACAGAAATATCAGAAATTGATTAACAAGCTAATCAATTGCTTACTGATTAAAAGTTTATTAAACTTGGGTGGTTTTCCTATCTGGGTCTTCTCTTTGGTGTTTAACAACATAAAATAGTATGTCTTCACTGATGTGGGAAACAGAGGCAGAAGAAAAATTATTAAATTTCCTTACTACCTACAGCCCATTGACAAGTCCTTGAAACAGGCAGAGTGACCTTCCTCTAGGGACTCAATTGCCTGGATGTTAATACTTTGCTAAGGGCAACAGGCCTATCTTAGCCTGACCCTAAAAATTCCTTTGGAAATTTCCTATATCTCTACCCCCCAAGATACATGTTGGCAATCATCCCCCAAGCATATGATATACATTTGAAGGGTCTCATGACTCAGATTTTATTAGACAGTAATAAATGGCACTTTCCCAACAGCTAAGCCCCCTGAAGTTCCTGGAAACCTTGCTTCCAAAATACCTGGGAGACTTACATGCTATCCCCAACTCCCTCCCAACTTGAAAGTACACAATGGGCCACTTCTCATGAACCCCGTGCAGCTCTTTCCGCCCACGGGTCCTGTCCCCGAGCTTTAATAAAACCATCTTTTTGCACCAAAGGCATCTCAATAATTCTTTCTTGGCCATCAGCTTTAAACCCTAACGTTTCTCCTACATCATTCACTAAATACAAAAAACCCCAAATACATAACACGTTTCAAAAGCACGAAAATAAAAGTTGTTGGAAGGAATATTATTTAATACATTGACTTTTCTTCCCCCCTCTCATACTACATCTCTTTCCCCCATTAATTATCGGAAGGGAAAATTCAACAAAAAAGTAGTTGGCTTTTTAACTTAAAAAGCCAAAACTTTCAAGTTTTAAAATCAAAGTTTTGAGGTCCTAAGAACCTGAATTTTAGCATTTCAGAAAACCAAGTCCTAAAAACTATACTTCTGAACTTTTTAAACATAAACTAAAGTTTTGGACAATGAAATGAAAAGCCACTAACTTAATACAGAAGACATGTCCTCTGGACTAAAATACAGGGACAGGAGAAAGAAAGCAAACCAGAAATCCATAGGTTGAGTAGTTAAAATGCAGCAGTTATAAAATTGCATCCCCCACTGATATTTTAAAAATACCTGCTTTAAAAATGAGATCACAGAGGAGGGTGGCTCTAAATTATAGCTGAAATGAGCAAATTTAAAAAAAAATTAAATCCGATTTTGACAGCACTGATGCTCAACTGTATTAATTTTAAAATTCTCTCTCTTAGCGGTTTCCAAAGAGCTCTTTGTGTAAATGGCTGGAGTTATGAGTAACTACCAATCTATAGGAAGGATAAATGTCATTTTCAAATATGTAACATCTGAAATCAGAGAGATCTGAAGTTCCCACAGCAAATGTTTGGTGAGTATTTAACCAAACTTTTAGCAAAGCTCGATCAGACATGTAATAACATGACTGCAGGAAGTATAAATCTGACTTCTAACTTATACTCAATTCCCCCAATAAAGTATGCTGTATTTTCTCACGAGCATAGTAACCACTCATTTATACTTATTTATACTTTTTTTTAGGGGGAGAGGCAGAGGGAGAGGGAGAGGGAGAGAAAGACTCTTAAACAGGCTCCACGCCCAGCACAGTGCCCAACACCGGGCTTGATCTTAAGCCCCTAAGATCACGACCTGAGCCAAAATCAAGAGTCAGATGGCTTAATCGATAGGGGCACCAGGTGCCCCTATACTTATTTATACTTTAAGTTGGTTTCCTCTACTAGAAAATAAGTCCCCCTTCCCACCCCATGAGGGCCCTATTCCTACTAACTGGAATGCATGAACAAATACCAATTCCAATGTTGCAGCTACTAAAACATAATGGATGAAGCCAACTGATTCTTTCCTAGAGGGGTGGGGTTTAATAAATGGAAAGATGTGTGACTTCTGTCCTGAATTCTGTTTACTATAAATGATCACCTATTCGGAATCAAAGAGTCTTCGAGAAATGAAGAGCCCTGGTACAAATGACTGGAATGTTGAGATCTCCAAATTGATGAGATAAAACTGAATTGATATTTCTTATGGACCCCAAACCTCTTCCTCCAATCTCAGTGAATGGTGCCTTCACAACCAGTAGATCATACTGGGTAAAGCTTTACATCTTTCTTGCCTAGTCCTCTTTCCCCATGCTACCCTCATGGCCTTCGGTGAAGCCCTTATCATCTCTCTGGAATTACTGCACTCTAATCTCTTCCTTGACAATCACCTCTCATCCTCCAAGAAATCCACCTCTTAAAATTCAAATGTGATATCCCCCAGACTATGTCACTCATTTGTTTAAAGCCATCAATGGCTCTCTCTTCTCTACAGGAGAAAATCCAAATTTCTTGGAAAGGCATATAAGGCACCCTCTCTCACCTCCATTTCAGCAGCAAAGCAAACCAAACTTTAGGCTTCCACAAAAGTGAGAGACTTACTGTTCCCCAAACATACCTTCAGGCCTCTGCATGAGTTCCCTCTGAAAGCATCATATCCTAGAAGATTTCCATTCACTCTATAAAGCAGCTATAACTTTACTCTATAAAGTTACTTGTCACAAACCACTAAACACTATTGAGTACCAAGCTCCGTGTTGGCGCTATAGCTTAATAAGACAGTCCCTACCTTCTAAGAATGCACTTTCTGGTGAAAATCTGCAATAATAACACAGTGTTAATAGTGCCGCATTTGAGCACAGAGAAGGAATCAGGAAATATGTACAAACAAGATACTACTTCAGTATTTCATGCAAAAAAAAAAAAAGCAAACAAACAAAAAACAATAAGCAAATGTAAAGAGGAAAGAGAATCTTGTATATTCCGAGAGTCATATGCAGTTAGGAAGTGGGGAGTGGGCTTATGGGAATTATAGTTAAAAGGTAGGAAGACGCCAGTTTGTAATCAGCCTTATTGATCACCAAAAAACTGTTTCAGTTTTCTTCAGAAGGCAGTGGGAGCCATTAAAAGTTTTCCAGCAAGCAAGTGATGGCCTCGTGACAGTATTGTGGAAATAGGTAGAAAGTCAGTGAGGTCACTTAGCGGGCTATAACCAAGACTCGGGGGACGAAATATGAGGATGAGAAAAAAACACCTGTCAGTGAGCATCATGAAAAGTGTTAGATCTGGAAGACATTAGGAATCTAGAACTGACAGTAAAAGTAAAAGTTTTAATATAACTCCTAACTGTCTTTCTCACCCCCCTAAGGTGACTGAGGGGATGATTATCTCAGTGCTATTCACTGAGACAAGAAATAAAGGAAGGGAAACACAACTCTTTCAATGTCCCACACTACACTTAGGATTGCTCTTCTCCTGTTCAATATTTTCATCTTTCTGTGGCACATATCACTGTCTATTCGAGCATGTCATGTACTTACTTACTATGTTTTACTGTTTCTGATCTGTCTCCCATGCTAGAAGAAAAGATTCAGGCAGGCAGGGCCTTTTTTTTTTTTTTTTTTTGGTTTTACTCACCGATATAGATCTTAAAGCTGTGGAGGCTTATAGTAAGCTCAATAATTAGTAATTAAATTAATAAGAGTTAAAACTAATTAATAATTAAGTCTACGCTATGTTCAGTTTGCGATTTCTTTGGAACATACAGAAAGAGAAATCATGTAAAATGCTACTTTCAGACCTACTACGTGTAACATCATCTGGGGATCTTGCCATAATGCAGACTCAATAGTCCTGGGGTAGAGCCCAAGATTCTACATTTCAATGAAGCACTCAGATGATGCTGCAGCTACTGGTACGAGAACCGTGAATACCATGGATGTTTGCTGTTGGATATGTAACCTTGGAATCAGGGGACTGGGTGCGTGATGTGAGAGTCATTATCTCTAGAGGTGGTGACTGATGTCATGAATGTGGATGAAATCTCTCAGGCAAATAACAGGTAGTAAGAAAAAGTCAAAGGAACTCTGAAGTACATTGAGCAAAGGAAGAAAATCTCCAGTGATAAGAGCTGTGAACATTAAAGAATAAGGGAATTTGAACCTAGAGAGATTCCCCACAGTGTAAAATGCCATTATGAGAGGTTACTTAAAATAATGAAAATGTCCTTTATATGTGGTCCCTCAAAAATTCGTACATTGAGACAAGGCCTTTAAAAGGTAAATAGGCTCAAATGAGGTCATATGGGTAGATCCTAATTCACTAGGACTGGTGTCCTAATAACAAGAAGAGATGGGAGGGGTGCATGTGCACAGAGGAGAGGCCATATGAGGACGCACAGCGGAAGCAGCCGTCTGCAAGACAAAGAGAGAAACCTTAGGAGAAACCAAACCTGTCAGCATCTTGATCTTGGACTTCCAGCTTCCAGAACTGTGAGAACATTGGTGCCTGTTGTTTAAGCCACCTGGTCTGTGGTACTTTGT